ATGACAGAGTTTATATACTGCTGGGTGGGTGCTTTGATGTTACTGATAGTGAATTTTATTTTATTCATAAGATTAGTTAGTAGAGTTACCAATCGTCCCGTAAAAAGACGGAATCGTCCCGTATTCAGAGGAAATATTACGCTTATCTGGCTTATCATAGGAAAAATGAATTGAGACTGTGTCTTTATTAACATTATTACATGTACCAACCACTGTCAGCTTTGTTTTGAGAAGCTACTGTCCCAGTTTGTATGAAGTAAGTAGTCCTGCAGCCATTGTGGCCTTCTGACACATCTAATACCACCTGTGTCCCTTGGTTTCTCTCAGCAGCTCCTCCTTCTGGCTTCATTGTATAAATTTACACGTTCAGTTTTTTCTACTTTCAATTACTTTAATTGCTTCTTTGAGAAGAATAAGGGCTGTTTATGGAGCAGTCAAATGATTGCCTCGTGTGACACCAAAGAAAGCGTAATGCCAATGAAATATTTAATAATCAGCTACCTGCAGTTATAACAGTACCCAAATGTACTTTGCAAAATATGTTTGTTTGTTTTTATTCACACAGGCTTCCGTACCATATATGCAAAGAGTAAATTAGTAAAGGTAAAGATGAAGATGAATGTGATTTCTGAGGGTAATCACAAGATTTAGCTCTAAGATTATCTATAATCTCTGACCTTCAGTTTTCTAGCCACTTCCACATGGTTGTCATAGACGAGGACATCGGCAATGAGGTTCTCCCTCTCCTTGGAGAAGGACAACTGTCCCTCTGTGACATGTGGCTCAACAATTACCTTCAGCAGAGTGTGAGGACACCTGGTCCCATCCCACACCTGGGAAAATAAAAAAAACATGATATAAGTAATGAGCACGACACACATTTTTGACCTGATAAAAGCACAGAAACATGCAGGTGATGCTCATCTAGTCATCTGTCACTCTAATTTTGCAGCATTTTGCAGCCCGTACAGTCTCAAAAAGCTCTATGCCTGAATACAAACATGGTGCCTAAAAAGCAGAAGCAATATCACACTGTATTGGAATAGAATCATGAAAGAATCACAAAGCCTGAACAGCTATTTGAAAACAGGCATTACTAAATGGAACAGAGAAAGATTATGCATGGTGAGTTGTCACTGGCCTCTTACAACATTAAGGTTCTGGATTTGAAGGTTCTGGTCAGGTGGCACCAACACATGATCCCAAGACTACAAGGATGCAAGTATTCTTCCACCAATTGTCACTTTTGGTGTCTGAGTGAAACACAACATTCCACTGACAGTTTTGATCTTCTTTTTGATGAGGTTTTCTTTTCTTTATCAAATAGCCTGCTATAATTTGAAAAACATATTTTCCTGATTGTATGTGTTGTTGCATAACAAAAGACTCTAGAAGTGGGTGAGAGCTGACTGGCAAGAGCCTGGCGTTTACTGCCAAATCCTATTCAAATTTATCTCCCCCATCACTGGCAGGAAACCAGTCACCACTTACAGCGTAGCTTCTGTTCTCAAACCTGAGGTGTAAAGTAAAACACATCAGTAGCAAAACAAAACACATGAGATCTCTTCCCAGTTGAAGCCACAAGATTACGGATGTTAATTCACGTGGAAAACAAAGGTTAACAAATTCTTTCAAAAACATTCACATGGCATTGAAAAGTGCTTTTCTTCAGGTTTCTTACCCTCAACAAGGTGCAGGTGGTATCAACAGGGGCCTTGGCCAGCAGCTGGCAGGTCAGGTCAAAGTAAGCTTTGGGCTGAACAGCAGACAGCGGGACTGTGCTGGTAACTGAGGCGAAGAGAGCCTGACTGGCAGCCCAGGATCGTAGCTCCTCCACCGTCCGCTGGTCGTCTGGGTCAAAGTGGAATGAACGGCTGGATGTCCGCGGTTCGACCGGTGCACCTTTCACCCCATCAAATGTTACCACAGAAAAACCAAAGGTGTTGACCAGCGTGATGGACTTGTTGAAAACTTGAGCCTGTGTAGACAGATGTAGAATTATTTATTACATTTCACATGAATAAAGATTATTCATCAATACATTAATATTACTATTTATTAATAGAGGTGATTTTGCAATATTTAATTCTCACCTGAAAATTTACAAATCAGTAGGGCAAAATATAGATACTAAACACACTAAATGCACTCTGCAGTCTTGCACCTTAACTCTGTGCATGCGAACAATGTCTCCATTCCGAAAGATTTTGGGATGGTCCTCCAGTTTCTCACAGAAGATGGTGCAGCCAATCTTTTCATTAGAGTGGTCAGTAATCTTCAGGCTAGAGCAGAAATCTGTGAAAAGAGAACTTTATGATATCAGAAAAAAGTGTCTAGTCTACCATAAAAACAATTCAACTGGTTCAAAGACTAGGACAGTAAGCACCAACACTTGTCTTCTTCGCCTGTCCCTCCTGAACCTTCCTCCTCAGTGTGTCAAATGTTAAGCTATTCCTTGGGCTTTTTTGGTAATGATACTTCTAATGCAACCTGGCTTTAGCTTTGGAGGCCAAGCTCAGTGAACTGAAGAAACAGCT